CCATCACCACCACCACCATCACCACCACCATCACCACCACCGCTCCAGCAGGTAACCCATTTGAGGCTGAGTCGACCTAGAGGAGGTACTGGTGCCGATTCAGATGATCGCCGTCACCGATGGTGGTGGTGGTGATGGTGGTGATGGTGGTGGTGATGGTGGTGATGGTGGTGGTGGTGGTGATGGTGGTGATGGTGGTGGTGATGGTGGTGATGGTGATAGTGGTGGTGATGGTGGTGATGGTGATGGTGGTGATGATGGTGATGGTGGTGGTGATGGTGGTGATGGTGGTGGTGATGGTTGTGATGGTGGTGATGGTGGTGATTGTGGTGATGGTGGTGATGGTGGTGATGGTGGTGTTGATGATGGTGATGGTGGTGGTGATGGTGGTGTTGATGGTGTTGATGATGGTGGTGATGGTGTTGATGGTGGTGGTGGTCATGGTGGTGGTGGTGGTGGTGATGGTGGTGGTGGTGGTGTTGATGGTGGTGATGGTGGTGGTGTTGATGGTGATTGTTGTGATGGTGGTGGTGATGGTGTTGATGGTGTTGATGGTGGTGTTGATGCTGGTGATGGTGTTGATGATGGTGATGGTGTTGTGATGGTGGTGGTGATGGTGATGGTGGTGATGTTGGTAGTGGTGATGGTGGCGTTCATGGTGGTGTTGATGGTGATGGTGATTGTTGTTATGGTGGTGTTGATGGTGTTGTGATGGTGGTGGTGATGGTGTTGATGGTGATGGTGGTGGTGGTGATGGTGGTGATGGTGGTGGTGGTGATGGTGGTGATGGTGGTGGTGATGGTGGTGATGGTGGTGATGACGGTGATTGTTGTGATGGTGTTGATGATGGTGGTGATGATGGTGATGGTGTTGATGATGGTGATAGTGTTGATGGTGGTGGTGATGGTGATTGTTGTGATGGTGATGATGGTGATAGTGTTGATGATGATGATGGTGTTGATGGTGTTTGTGGTGTCGCTGTTGGCCTTGAGCCGGAATCGAACTCGGGTTGCCAGCTTCGTATTGGCAGCCTCACTCCTGACCGTACGGAGCCCGGATTAAGATCGTCTTGAAGGCCCTTGACTAACTGGCACTGTGACTCACCCCCACCCCCAGTTATATATATTATTATAATTTATAAGTTTCATTTTAATTTATTTACAAGGCTAACGACCAATCAAATTCGGCGTTCACAAATTCAACTTTTCACTGAAGCCCAAGAGGTGATCCCAGTCGGCTGTGATGTCTCGGTTGGAGTGAATTGAGCACCCCCACCAGTTGATCCGGCACTGTAACCACTACACTCACTCATTCACTCACTTATTCATTCACTCACTCATTCACTCATTCATTCACTCACTCATACACTCACTCATTCATTCACTCACTCATTCACTCACTCATTCATTCACTCATTCATTCACTGACTCATACACTCACTCATTCACTCACTCACTCATACACTCACTCATTCATTCACTCATTCACTCACTCATACACTCACTCATTCACTCACTCATACACCCACTCACTCACTCACTTACCCACTTACTCTCCCACTCGCTCACTCAGCCACTCACTCACCCACTCACTCACTCAGCCACTCACTCACCCACTCAGCCACTTACTCACCCACTCACTCACTCATCCACTCACTCACCCACTCACCCACTCACCCACTCACTCACTCACCCACTCACTCACCCACTCACCCACTCACTCACTCACCCACTCACTCACTCACCCACCTGTCTTCCGCTCAATCGCTCGCTGACTCACCCACTCACTCACTCACCCACTCACTCACCCACTCACTCACTCACCCACTCACTCACTCACTCACCCACTCACTCACTCACCCACCTGTCTTCCGCTCAATCGCTCGCTGACTCACCCACTCACTCACTCACCCACTCACTCACCCACTCACTCACCCACTCACCCACTCACTCACTCACCCACTCACCCACTCACTCACCCACCTGTCTCCCGCTCAATCGCTCGCTGACTCACTCACCCACTCACTCACCCACTCACTCACCCACTCACTCACTCATTCGACCACCCACTCACTCACTCACCCACCCACTCACTCACCCACTCATCCACTCACCCACCCACTCACTCACCCACTCACACACTCACTCACTCACCCACCCACTCACTCACCCACTCACTCACTCACTCACCCACTCACTCACCCACCCACTCACTCAGCCACTCACTCACTCACTCACCCACTCACTCACCCACTCACTCACCCACTCACTCACTCACCCACTCACCCACCCACTCACTCAGCCACTCACTCACTCACTCACCCACTCACTCACTCACCCACCCACTCACTCAGCCACTCACTCACTCACTCACCCACTCACTCACCCACTCACCCACTCACTCACTCACCCACTCACTCACTCACCCACTCACACACTCACTCACACACTCACTCACTCACCCACCTGTCTCCCGCTCAATCGCTCGCTGACTCACTCACCCACCCACTCACCCACTCACTCATTCACACACTCACTCACCCACCACTCACCCACTCACTCACTCACACACTCACTCACCCACTCACCCACTCATCCACTCACTCACTCACACACTCACCCACTCATTCACCCACTCACTCATTCACACACTCACTCACTCACCCACCCACTCACTCAGTCACTCACTCACTCACCCACTCACTCACCCACTCACCCACTCACTCACTCACTCACCCACTCACACACTCACTCACCCACCCACTCACACACTCACTCACTCACCTGTCTCCCGCTCAATCGCTCGCTGACTCACTCACCCACCCACTCACCCACTCACTCACCCACTCACTCACCCACTCACCCACTCACTCACCCACCCACTCACTCACCCACTCACTCACCCACTCACTCACTCACCAACTCACTCACTCACTCACACACTCACCCACTCACCCACTCACTCCCTCATTCACCCACTCACTCATTCACACACTCACTCACTCACCCACCTGTCTCCCGCTCAATCGCTCGCTGACTCACTCACCCACCCACTCACCCACTCACTCATTCACACACTCACCCACTCACTCACCCACTCATCCACTCACTCACTCACTCACACACTCACCCACTCATTCACCCACTCACTCATTCACACACTCACTCACTCACCCACCTGTCTCCCGCTCAATCGCTCGCTGACTCACTCACCCACCCACTCACCCACTCACTCATTCACACACTCACTCACTCACCCACTCACTCATTCACACACTCACTCACCCACCACTCACCCACTCACTCACTCACACACTCACTCACCCACTCACCCACTCATCCACTCACTCACTCACACACTCACCCACTCATTCACCCACTCACTCATTCACACACTCACTCACTCACCCACCCACTCACTCAGTCACTCACTCACTCACCCACTCACTCACCCACTCACCCACTCACTCACTCACCCACTCACACACTCACTCACCCACCCACTCACACACTCACTCACTCACCTGTCTCCCGCTCAATCGCTCGCTGACTCACTCACCCACCCACTCACCCACTCACTCACCCACTCACTCACCCACTCACCCACTCACTCACCCACCCACTCACTCACCCACTCACTCACCCACTCACTCACTCACCAACTCACTCACTCACTCACACACTCACCCACTCACCCACTCACTCCCTCATTCACCCACTCACTCATTCACACACTCACTCACTCACCCACCTGTCTCCCGCTCAATCGCTCGCTGACTCACTCACCCACCCACTCACCCACTCACTCATTCACACACTCACCCACTCACTCACCCACTCATCCACTCACTCACTCACACACTCACCCACTCATTCACCCACTCACTCATTCACACACTCACTCACTCACCCACCTGTCTCCCGCTCAATCGCTCGCTGACTCACTCACCCACCCACTCACCCACTCACTCATTCACACACTCACTCACTCACCCACCACTCACCCACTCACTCACTCACCCACTCACTCACTCACCCACTAATTCACCCACTCACTCACCCACTCACTCACCCACCTGTCTCCCGCTCAATCGCTCACTGACTCACTCACCCACCCACTCACCCACTCATTCACACACTCACTCACCCACCACTCACCCACTCACTCACTCACTCACCCACTCACTCACCCACTCATTCACCCACTCACTCATTCACCCACTCACTCACTCACACACTCACCCACTCACACACTCACCCACTCACCCACTCACTCACCCACTCACCCACTAATTCACCCACTCACTCATTCACACACTCACTCACTCACCCATCTGTCTCCCGCTCAATCGCTCGCTGACTCACTCACTCACCCACCCACCCACTCACACACTCACTCACTCACCTGTCTCCCGCTCAATCGCTCGCTGACTCACTCACTCACCCACCCACTCACCCACTCACTCATTCACACACTCACTCACCCACCACTCACCCACTCACTCACTCACTCACCCACCCACACACTCACCCACTCACCCACTCACACTCATTCACCCACTCACTCATTCACACACTCACTCACCCACCCACTCACACACTCACTCACTCACCTGTCTCCCGCTCAATCGCTCGCTGACTCACTCACTCACCCACCCACTCACCACACCTTCCACACCCACTCAATCACTCACCCACTCACTCACTCACCCACTCACTCACTCACCCACTCACTCACTCACACACTCACCCACTCACCCACTCACTCACTCATCCACTCACTCACTCACACACTCACCCACTCATTCACCCACTCACTCATTCACACACTCACTCACCCACCCACTCACACACTCACTCACCCACCTGTCTCCCGCTCAATCGCTCGCTGACTCACTCACTCACCCACCCACTCACCACACCTTCCACACCCACTCATTCCCCCACCCACCCTCACCCCACCCACCCACCCTCACCCCACCCACCCTCACCCCACATGGCCAATTTCGTTCCAAAACCACAAAGCGCATGCCACCAACACCACCACCACCACCACTCTCTCTCCCTCTCACACTCACCGCATAAATACAGAGTGGGGGGCTTATCTATCTCTCAATCACCAAGGACTGCTCACCAGCCAGACACTCACCAGGGGAAACTCCTCACCAACGGTGACAGCTCACCACCTCCAACCAAGGTGAGCGACACACACAGACAAAGCTCTCCCCAGGTAGCCTCTTAGCAGGGCTGTAGGGGCAAGTGCTGAGACACAGACAAAGCTCTCCCAAGGTAGCCTCTTAGCAGGGCTGTAGGGGCAAGTGCTGAGACACAAAGCTCCCCCAGGTAGCCTCTAGCAGGGCTGTAGAGGCAAGTGCTGAGACACAGACAAAGCTCCCCCCAGGTAGCCCCTTAGCAGGGCTGAAAGGGGCAAGTGCTGAGACACAGACAAAGCTCTCCCCAGGTAGCCTCTTAGCAGGGCTGTAGGGGCAAGTGCTGAGACACAAAGCTCTCCCCAGGTAGCCTCTTAGCAGGGCTGTAGGGGCAAGTGCTGAGACACAGACAAAGCTCTCCCAAGGTAGCCTCTTAGCAGGGCTGAAAGGGGCAAGTGCTGAGACACAGACAAAGCTCTCCCCAGGTAGCCTCCAGCAGGGCTGTAGGGGCAAGTGCTGAGACACAAAGCTCCCCCAGGTAGCCTCTAGCAGGGCTGTAGCGGCAAGTGCTGAGACACAGACAAAGCTCTCCCCAGGTAGCCTCTTAGCAGGGCTGTAGCGGCAAGTGCTGAGACACAGACAAAGCTCCCCCAAGTAGCCTCTAGCAGGGTTATAGCGGCAAGTGCTGAGACACAGACAAAGCTCTCCCCAGGTAGCCTCTTAGCAGGGCTGTAGGGGCAAGTGCTGAGACACAGACAAAGCTCTCCCAAGGTAGCCTCTTAGCAGGGCTGAAAGGGGCAAGTGCTGAGACACAGACAAAGCTCCCCCAGGTAGCCTCTTAGCAGGGCTGTAGGGGCAAGTGCTGAGACACAGACAAAGCTCTCCCAAGGTAGCCCCTTAGCAGGGTTGTAGCGGCAAGTGCTGAGACACAGACAAAGTTCCCCCAGGTAGCCTCTAGCAGGGCTGTAGGGGCAAGTGCTGAGACACAGACAAAGCTCTCCCCAGGTAGCCTCTTAGCAGGGCTGTAGGGGCAAGTGCTGAGACACAGAAAAAGCTCCCCCAGGTAGCCTCTTAGCAGGGCTGTAGGGGCAAGTGCTGAGACACAGACAAAGATCCCCCAAGTAGCCTCTAGCAGGGTTGTAGCGGCAAGTGCTGAGACACAGACAAAGCTCCCCCAGGTAGCCTCTTAGCAGGGCTGTAGGGGCAAGTGCTGAGACACAGACAAAGCTCCCCCCAGGTAGCCTCTAGCAGGGCTGTAGGGGCAAGTGCTGAGACACAGACAAAGCTCTCCCCAGGTAGCCCCTTAGCAGGGCTGCAGGGGCAAGTGTTGAGACACAGACAAAGCTCCCCCAGGTAGCCTCTAGCAGGGTTGTAGCGGCAAGTGCTGAGACACAGACAAAGATCCCCCAAGTAGCCTCTAGCAGGGTTGTAGCGGCAAGTGTTGAGACACAGACAAAGCTCCCCCAGGTAGCCTCTAGCAGGGCTGAAAGGGGCAAGTGCTGAGACACAGACAAAGCTCTCCCCAGGTAGCCTCTTAGCAGGGCTGTAGGGGCAAGTGTTGAGACACAGACAAAGCTCCCCCAGGTAGCCTCTAGCAGGGTTGTAGCGGCAAGTGCTGAGACACAGACAAAGATCCCCCAGGTAGCCTCTAGCAGGGTTGTAGCGGCAAGTGCTGAGACACAGACAAAGATCCCCCAAGTAGCCTCTAGCAGGGTTGTAGCGGCAAGTGTTGAGACACAGACAAAGCTCTCCCCAGGTAGCCTCTTAGCAGGGCTGTAGGGGCAAGTGCTGATACACAGAAAAAGCTCCCCCAGGTAGCCTCTAGCAGGGTTATAGCGGCAAGTGCTGAGACACAGACAAAGATCCCCCAAGTAGCCTCTAGCAGAGTTGTAGCGGCAAGTGCTGAGACACAGACAAAGCTCCCCCAGGTAGCCTCTAGCAGGGCTGTAGGGGCAAGTTCTGAGACTGAGATAAAGCTCCCCCAGGTAGCCTCTAGCAGGGCTGTAGGGGCAAGTGCTGAGACACAGACAAAGCTCCCCCAGGTAGCCTCCAGCGGGGCTGTAGGGGCAAGTGCTGAGACACAGACAAAGCTCCCCCAGGTAGCTTCTAGCAGGGCTGTAGGGGCAAGTGCTGAGACACAGCTACAGCTCCCCCAGGTAGCCTCTAGCAGGGCTGTAGGGGCAAGTGCTGAGACACAGACAAAGATCCCCCAGGTAGCCTCTAGCAGGGCTGTAGGGGCAAGTGCTGAGACACAGACAAAGCTCCCCCAGGTAGCCTCTAGCAGGGCTGTAGGGGCAAGTGCTGAGACAGAGACAAAGCTCCCCCAGGTAGCCTCTAGCAGGGTTGTAGCGGCAAGTGCTGAGACACAGACAAAGCTCCCCCAGGTAGCCTCTAGCAGGGTTGTAGGGGCAAGTTCTGAGACTGAGATAAAGCTCCCCCAGGTAGCCTCTAGCAGGGCTGTAGGGGCAAGTGCTGAGACACAGACAAAGCTCCCCCAGGTAGCCTCCAGCGGGGCTGTAGGGGCAAGTGCTGAGACACAGACAAAGCTCCCCCAGGTAGCCTCTAGCAGGGCTGTAGGGGCAAGTGCTGAGACACAGCTACAGCTCCCCCAGGTAGCCTCTAGCAGGGCTGTAGGGGCAAGTGCTGAGACAGACAAAGATCCCCCAGGTAGCCTCTAGCAGGGCTGTAGGGGCAAGTGCTGAGACAGAGACAAAGCTCCCCCAGGTAGCCTCTAGCAGGGCTGTAGTGGCAAGTGCTGAGACACTGCTACAGCTCCCCCAGGTAGCCTCTAGCAGGGCTGTAGGGGCAAGTGCTGAGACACAGACAAAGATCCCCCAAGTAGCCTCTAGCAGGGTTGTAGCGGCAAGTGCTGAGACACAGACAAAGCTCCCCCAGGTAGCCTCTAGCAGGGCTGTAGGGGCAAGTTCTGAGACTGAGACGAAGCTCCCCCAGGTAGCCTCTAGCAGGGCTGTAGGGGCAAGTGCTTAGACACAGACAAAGCTCCCCCAGGTAGCCTCCAGCGGGGCTGTAGGGGCAAGTGCTGAGACACAGACAAAGCTCCCCCAGGTAGCCTCTAGCGGGGCTGTAGGGGCAAGTGCTGAGACACAGGCAAAGCTCCCCCAGGTAGCCTCTAGCAGGGCTGTAGGGGCAAGTGCTGAGACAGAGACAAAGCTCCCCCAGGTAGCCTCTAGCAGGGCTGTAGCGAAGAGTGCTGATACACAGCTACAGCTCCCCCAGGTAGCCTCTAGCAGGGCTGTAGGGGCAAGTGCTGAGACACAGACAAAGATCCCCCAGGTAGCCTCTAGCAGGGCTGTAGGGGCAAGTGCTGAGACACAGACAAAGCTCCCCCAGGTAGCCTCTATCAGGGCTGTAGGGGCAAGTGCTGAGACACAGCTACAGCTCCCCCAGGTAGCCTCTAGCAGGGCTGTAGGGGCAAGTGCTGAGACACAGACAAAGCTCCTCCAGGTAGCATCTAGCAGGGATGTAGGGGCAAGTGCTGAGACACAGACAAATCTCCCCCAGGTAGCCTCTAGCAGGGCTGCAGGGGCAAGTGTTGAGACACAGACAAAGCTCCCCCAGGTAGCCTCTAGCAGGGCGATAAAGGCTACCGGCACTGTGGCACGCAGACACAACGGCAACATGACGTCACCACGACGCCTGTGCCAGACTAGGTGCACCTTGAGGCTGCCACGTGAAGTGTCGAACGCCCGCTGGCAGGAGGTCACGGGGCAGACCCAGCAGGTGCCACGGGTCGACTGACTGAGATGACTGGCTGATGCATAACCTGTGCCCCATACTGTGCCAACCTGCTGTGCTTTAGCCACCCGGCGCTCCGCTCGTTGTTGTGAGCGTCGTTCCTCCGCCCTCCGTTGTTGTTGGAGGGCGACTGCCTCCAACTGCCCAGTAGCAGCGTCCTTCACGAGCCTCCTCCACAGAGGCCGATCTTGACACCGCTGGTACCGGTCATCGGCAAGTCCACTCAGCTCCACGTCCTCCTGTACCACATCACTCCATTTCTTCTCTAGCCCGTGCCGCGCCCGTTTAGCCCCCTCGATCCGGCCGATCAAAAGCTGTTTCGGCATGCGGTGGCTGGGCATGCGGGCTACATGACCCAGCCAAAGCAGCCTTGCCCGCCGGAGGAGCTCACCGATGGGACCTTGCCCAGATCTTTCAAGGATTTGTGAGCTCCTCACACAATCCAGCCTGGTTAAACCCAGGATGGATCGTAGGCAGGCCAGCCTAAATGTTTCTAACCGGCGAAGATGTTCCATTAGGGGGGTCCACGTTTCGCAAGCGTAGAGAAGGGATGGAATGACCGTGGCCGAGAAGACCTGAAGCTTAGTGCGGAGCGACAGACCAGGTAGCTTCCACACGGCGTTACGCAACCGATGAAAATATATTGCCGCTCGACTGATTCGGAGTGAGACCTCTGCTGTTGAACTGGAGCCGGTCATTAACACACTGCCCAGGTATGGGAAACTCTCCACTCTCTCCACAACTGCCCCATCACCGATTGGGTGTTGTGGGGGTGGAGTGTCCGATGGTACAAAATACGCAGGCAGGTGCTTAGTTTTGGTGGGGCTGATGGTAAGGCCCCACCTATTAGTGGCACGCTCCAGTCTCAGCAGCAGCGTCTCAAACTCCTCCTCTGAGTGAGCGGCAATTACCAGATCATCGGCGTACATAACGTGGTTGAGCAATAGGGAGCCATCCCTTGACCGCACCCGGGCATCGATCAGCCTCCCATTATATCTGTACCAGATGGAATTTCCTCCGGTACAGCTATTGAAGGCTTCACGAACTACGTGGTCGAAATAGATGTTAAATAATGTGGGAGCCAGAGGACATCCC